AGACTCATTAACAACCTGTGATATGCAGATGATACAACCTTGATCGCTGAAAGTGAAGAGGACTTGAAACACTTACTTATGAAGATCCTTGTTAGCACGATTTCTCAAAAATGTGAGCCCAGGAGAGATTATGATAGTCCAAAAGCCGTGGGACTGACATATGAAACCCTCCTTTTTGAGATCCCACTGCTAGCTAGGAGTGGGGGCAGAGGGCTTAGCTGCAACGACAGATGGGGGATGATCAGTGACGTCAAGGAGCCACCGCAGCCTTTCTTACACTCTCCAGAATTTCTCACACTCTCCGTGCGTGAGTGAGCTACACCCGGCCGGTTTTTATTGGGGTCTCAAGCCAGGGTGGGAGATTTGGGAAGGAGGAAGTTATATCGCCTCTGTCCCTTCTGGGAGACGCCACTTTCCAAACAGGCCAGGCCTGGCCCAGCCTTCTAAACTCTGCTGTTGCGGGAGTGACCCGTGGTCCCTGCAGAAAAGAGTCCCAAAATACGCACTTTTCATTATCCTTCTTAGCGCAATTTCTCAAAAATGTGAGCCCAGGAGAGTTTATGATAGTCCAAAAGCCGTGGGACTGGTCTATGAATGTTTCCTTGTGAGATCCCACTCGTTTTTTCCTGCCGGAGCAAGTCCCTACCTTTTCTGGCTGTCCTTCCATACCAGAAGTCTGTAGTCGTTTTTTTATGCTGTCTAAAGAAGGTATTTGAAATGAACAAATCATTGGTTTTGCAGAATTCTATCATGCGTTCTACAGCATCATTTCTATCACCAAGGCCATATTTTCCAACTACTGATCCTTCCTCTTTGCTCCCAACCTTCACATTCCAATTACCAGTAATGATCAATACATTTTGATTGCATGTTTGATGGATTTCAGTTTGAAGAGTTTGTAGAATTCTTCTATTTCATTCTCACTGGCATTCGTGCTTGGTGCATAAATTTGAATAATAGTGGTATTAACTGGGCTTCTCTGTAGGCACGTGGATATTATCCTATCACAGACAGCATTGTACCTCATGACTGATCTGGATATATTCTTTTTGAAGATGAATGCAACACCATTCCTCTTCAATTTGTCATTCCCAGCATAGTAAACCATGTGGTTGTCAGACTCAGAATGGCTAATACCAGTCCATTTCAGCTCATTAATACCTAAGATATTGATGTTTATGCGTTCCATTTCATTTTTGACAACTTCCAATTTTCCCAGATTCATACTTTGTATATCTCATGTTCCGATTTTCAGTGGATATTTACAACAGTTTCTCTTCATTTTGAGTTGTGCCCCATCAGCAAATAAGGTCCCACGGGCTTTTCTCCCATGGGCTTTACTCCATTTGCGTTATCACAATCAACTCTGCTTTGAGGAGGCAGCTCTTCCCCAGTCGCATTTTGAGTGCCTTCCAATTTGAGCTCATTTTCCGGCACTATATCTGACAGTGATTCTCGGCTATTCATAAGATTTTCAGTGACTAAATATTGGGAAGTAATTTGTCACTTTTTCTTCCTAGTCTGTCTTTGCCTGGAAGCTCATCTGTCCACCATGGATGACCCTGCTGGTGTTTAAAATACCGGTGGCACAGCTTTCAGAATCATAGCAACTCACAAGCCACCAGAATACGACAAACTGACAGACGAGTGGTGGCCATTTGGTTTTAAATGGAAACTTTGACTTCAAATATCGAGGAGATCTATGTGCATGCATAGTAGAACCCTCCAGTCACCAGAGTGGAGGTACGCAGCCAGTAAGAGACCAATGAACAGATACCAAAAAAAAAGAATGTCCACACCTGTAGTTCTACCCTATCCTATAGGGTCGCTCTGAGTGAGAATCAACTCTATAACTATGGGTTATACCGCCTTCCAGTCTTTTTTTCTTCGTATACTTAAACATAGGAATAGTTCTCATACTATCATATGATGTATTTTCTCCAAGTTGAAAAGATACCATGGAAATATTCCCAGGTCATTAAACCTTCTTCAAAAACATAGTAATTCGTAGCTTTACAACCCCCATCATAGAGGTACAATTTTGATGGCACAAAGATTCATTGAAAACCATACTGCTACTCAACAAAGCAGCTTGTCAACATTTGGTTTGTAATTCAGTGTTCACACAGCTCTCTTCTACAAGCCACCTTTAAATGCTTCCTAGATTGATCATTGAATTAGGCGGCAATTCAACTTAGCAAGAGGAAGGTGTGACTGAGGGCCCATGTACTCACAAGATGCCTGCCACTCTGACTCTTCTTTCCAGTTCTTATAAATATGCTTGGTTCTCTCTTCATCGGTTTGTTTTATTTCTTCATCGTCCTTTTTCTTCGTGGGTTCTTTCTTCTGTTTAAAAAGAACAGAAACAATCACTGGTGAGTGGATCAGGCAGTTTTCCAAAAGGGCACAGACCTTTGATGAACCCTCTCTGACCCATTACGGAGGCACTTGTATTATGAGAAATGCACTGGCTTTGGAACCAGCTATACCTGAAGCTGGATCTAAGCCCACAAGAGGTTATTAAAACTCTCCTCGTATGTGCCCCCAGTATGCAAAATTAGAAAATGAAAACCCCTTTCATGGGATTTTTGTATTAGTTGAGTGCCTAGCACAGTGTGTATGTAACAATCATATTTTCTTTTTTAAAAATGTTTTATTGTGAATTATATGATAGTTTACATGGGAGAACATTAGCCTTACATTCATTCTATCATATATCGTTTCATTGCCATGGTTACAATCCCCTCCAAGCATCATCAAACAAGCAAAGGGTATACCCTGCAAGCCTGCCCCCTACACTACCCACCCCACACCCAAGTCTTCAGCACACAGTTGCTCTCCCTCTCTGTATTTAATGTCCCCAGCTGCTCCATCGCTCCATGTCATCGTCTCTGCCTCCATCTCAGGCATCACTGCTTCTCTGGGTAGGGTCCCGCTCTCCGCTTTTCTCCATTGATGGTCCTAGGGACCTCCGCTCCTAGACTGGAAAGTTAATCACTCCCTTCCTTTCTATAAAACATCTACCTTTACATTTCCCTTGCTCACAATCAGTCCTGATAACAATTATTCACTATTGTATCACAGGAGACCCATCTGCATTTCATTTCATCAACTCCACCTAGACAGATTGGATACTACTCACTGGAGAGTCTGCCTTTCTCCAGGGCCCCTGGCTCTATGTTCCCTCTTGAAAGCTTGTAAGCCAGTCACTTCTTGCCTTTGTAGCCCCCCCAACTCCCATTTTGGATAGCCAATGTCCAAGTTGCTCATCCCTGTCTACTCTGTGTGTGGAGGGGGTGGGAATGATTCTTGCTGTAAGAATTTGTTCCCTCTTTTGAGCTACTGCATCCATAGGTGTAGGTCAAGTTCATCAAATTGTATCAGATTACTCTTTGTTTCCTTTTCTTTCTTCTTCTGGTTGAGCTCTGATCATCCAGTCATTGAAGCCACGTTAAGTGGGTATTACCTGCAAGTGTAGGTGTTCTTGTGCATATGCCCTCTCTTCTTATTAGCTGGACACTTCACTCTCCACTCTAGTCCTCTGTGGCATGTCACTGTCTCTGGGCCCAAGAGTCCCCAGGTCTTGCCACACTGCTAGCCAACCAGGTCTTGACCTGGGTTCACAGAAGTCTAATGAGCATTGTAGGGCTTAGTTCGCCACTTCATTGCTGTTTTTCCCTCTCTTCCCCTTATCGGTGACGAGAGTGGTCACCAATCAGAGCATGTATTCCCATTGAGTCTTAGTCTTGGAAGGGGGTTTGCACTGAGGGGACCTGGCCACTTGCCTTGATGTTTCCTGGGCAACCATCTTGTTTAACAATCATATTTTCTTGAACAACGCCGATGACTGCTCAGTATGGCTCAAAAATGAGTCCTTTTTTTCCTCTCTTAAATAAAACATGAAACATTTAAAAGTTCCTCTTTGTGAAGAAAAATTGTAAAATAAGAAATATGAGTCTTCCTTTAAAACAGGAATTTCATTTTTACCTGAAGATAAAATAACAAACCAAATCACTGTGCTCTAGAAAGTACTTTGTTTATTTAGACACAGTCTTCTAAGTGCTTGTAAGAAAATGGAATTTACAACTCAGTGAATGAAAGCACTGATTCAGCTAACTAATCAAAAAAGACTAACCATGATTTATTCTTTGCCAGAAATGACAGGTTTTTTGTTTTGTTGTTTTATTTTTTATTTTATTCTGATGTGTTTTCATATTAAACAATACTTACTTCCTGTCAAATGATTTCAATTAAGATAAATATTGAAGTTATGAAGCTTGTTTGAGATCTTCATGGGGAGCCATAAATCTCAGCAAATATAGCCATTGTTGTTATTAAGTGCCATCGAGTCAATAATGACCCATAGTGACCCTGTATAGTGTTTCTGAGGAGCAGCTGGTGAGCTTGAACCTCCAACCTTGCGGTTTAAACTGACCTTGCAGTCTAGCGCAATAACCAACAGTGCCACACCAGGACTCCAATGTAGTCTATAGTGATAGTTCATAAACTGTACTTAACTTTGGATGGAATTGAACTTTGGGAGCATTTGTTGCTGCATTCTTTTTTTACATTATTTTCCTTCAAACCACAGAGTAGCTTTTGGTGTTTGAAATGATTGTTAAGATTTGCTGTAACTGTTTACAAGCCTGAAATACAGAAATATGCTGCTGGCAGTTTCTAAATTTAAACAGAAAAAAAACCCAAAATCATTAAAAGTGGAGCTCTGTTCATCTTCACATACATAAGTATTTATTTCAATGTAATTTTTAAAGTATAATTATGACAGTGAACTATGATAGCATAGATATTATAGCTTGTTGTTGTTCAGTGCCATCGAGTCAATTGTGACTCACAGCGACCTTGTATAGGATTTCCAAAGAGCAGATGGTGGATTTGAATTGTCAACCTTGTGGTTAGCAGTTCGGGGCTTATCTTCCAGTGCCACACTATTATTGCTTAGGATAAGCAAAAAGTTTTAAAAAGTGAGTCTACTTAAGGAAAAATATCAAGTATTATTTAAGTAATAAGTAATAATACAGGTGGTATTTGGTTAAGAAGATAATACTTAAACACGTGAAAATGCTATCTACTAGCAAATCATATTCTTTTCTAATCTAATCTACACTGAAGAGGTCTGGCCTGACCGTTGTATTTACTCAAAACATAGGAAGCATACAATGTATTCTGCGTTTCACTGTTTAAATAAATTCTTCCAAAAAACTCATTTCCAGCAAAATCTTTAAAAGTGTATTCTTCCTTTTCTCTGTTTGGGAAACCATCATGTCTTCTTTGGGTGTATTGTGCTAGAAGCATGTAGGTGAATGATTTGGGCCCATAGCATGTCACATCAAAGTGCAAGCCTGAATGGGGCAGAGAGCTGAGGCTAGAGACTCATTCAGGGCAGAGTTCAAGGTGCGAAGGCTGAGAAGGTCAGTGTGACCAGAAAATGAGGCCAAGTCCATGTCATACAGAAAGCCTCTCTTCCTGGACAATGGGTCGGAATGCTTTACAGCATGTCTTCCCACCACTTTTTTTTTTTTACTGTTGTTGCTAATTGCCAATGAGTTGGTCTCCAACTCATGGTAACACCTATACACAACTGACTACAGTAATCCTCAGGATTTTCATTGGCTGATTTTCAGAAGGACATACATCACCAAAGCATTTCTGGTAGCATAGTGGTTATGAGTTGGGCTGCTAACCTCAAGGTCAGCAGTTTCAAACTACTAGCTATTCTGTGGGAGAAAGAAGAGGCTTTCTGCTCCCATAAAGATTTACAGCCTCGGAAACCCTATGCAGGATCGCTATGAGTCGGAACTGACTCCATGGCACATCACCACCATCATATATCACCAAGCCTCTCTTCCTAGGTTGTCTTGGTCTAAAACCTGTTCATCATCATAGCAACTTGCAGGCCACCACTAAGGGGTAGCAGCTACCCACGAGGCACACTGGCTGAGAACTAAACTCCAATCTCCTACACAAAAGGTGAGAATTCTGCAACCTAACCACCACTGCCCCTAGTTGCCTTATGTTTATACCGGTGGCATGCATAAGGAAACTATAATTCCAAAACATCACCATGATTTCTTAAATCTTCTAAATGCAAGCTATCCCAGTTCACACGGGTTTCTACAGAAGAGTTGGGGGATTAATTACACCATCCACTGGAAGGCAGGTCCCTGGATAAGCTCTACCACAAGCCCAATTTCAGTCCTTCAGCCACTAGAATGCTTCTCTTCATGGTCTAGTATTTCAGCCTTGACTCTTCTGAGACTTCCTAAGGGTCAAATACTCTAGTTTCCAACTCTTCATTTTTTGTCTCAATTATTTTGAGCAATGTATGATAAAATTAAGAAGACTGAAGAAGAATGGATACATGTAAATTGTGGTGTTGGTGAAGAATATTGAATATACAATGGACTTCCAGAAGAGCAAACCAGTCTGACTTGGAAGAATTACAGCTGAAATGCTCGTTGGAAGCCAAGATGGTCAGACTTTGTCTCTCATACTTTGGACATAGTATCAGGAGGCATCAGTCCCTGGGAAAGGACATCACATTTAGTAAAATGGAGGGTCAGTGAAAAAGAGGAAGACTCCCAACAAGATGGAATGACACAGTGGCAACAGCAATGGGCTCAAATACAGCAAAGATTGTGAGAATGGCGCAGGGCAGGTCAGGGTTTCATTCTGGTGGACATAGGATCACTATGAGTTGGAACCAACTTGTCATCAACTAATAACAAAAATGATAAAATAACATTCTAGCATAAAGGAAGAAGTAGGGTTTGTCCTGTAGGGAGAACCTCACAGTCTGGATGATCTAAATCCTTAAAGAAGTTCCTAACATGGTAGACAGGGATGGCACAAGAGGTCCCCTTGTATAAGGGCAGGCTCACAGAGACAAGGGAACGCAGAAGTAACTTAATTCACCATTTCCTGTCAATTTTAGTGCTTTCTGAAATTACTCTTCACTCAGTGATTTGAGCAGCCCAGAATATTGTCTCTATTTCAGACTCTCTGTGAGAAGCTTGGAGTCTTGGTGTGGCGCATCTAGATAATACACTGGACTGCAAGGTTGGTTTAAACCACAAGGTCAGTGATTCAAACTCAGCAGGCACTACTCAGAAACCGTATGCAGGATCACTATGAATTGTAACTAACTTGATAGCACTTAACAACAACATGAGGAACTTAGCAGTCATTCTTGGCATCATTTTTTTTTTTTTTCATGATACTGTCCCAACTTCTGATAAACAGATGAAGATTAATTGCTGTGTTTGCAGCTTTTAAGACAGATGTCTTATTCTGTTGCCTGATTTCATTTCTGCAAAAGACTAGTTTAGCAATTTGTCAAACATTAGTGAAAATGGTGATGCCTTAGTCCCCGTGAAGATGCGATGTAAGTTTTTTACCTGGTGAAATCCATATGTCTTGATATGATTGATAGAATCTGCCAACATTTGTTGAATATTTCTTGAAGAACTGGAGGGTGACTAAAATGAAATGAAACACATTTTTTCAAATTACCATTTAGAGAGGCAGTGCAATTTCAGAAGATAATCCATTAATGCCTCCTTCAGCTCAGCTTTCCTTAATGCTTCCCCCACCTCCACGTACTTCTTCTCACAGCTGGATCTACCAGCATTGCCCACCAGCACCTAAGTTTCTGAGCAAATTGTGACTGAGACAGTTGGTATGTGAAGTAAGTCCTTCCTTCTTCCCTTAATCCTTGCAAATCCTATACAGGGTCATTATAGGTTAGAACTACAATAGCAATCTTTATGGAAGCAGATTGCCACATCAATCTTCCACTGAGCATCTATCTTCCACTGATAGCAGTCCTGCCTATCATTTGGTTGGACTCCTGGTATAGTGTTGTAGGATCAGCACTGGACTGTGAATCACAAGGTTGACAGTTCAAACCCACTAGTTGCTCCTTGGGAACCCTAGATATGGTCACTATGAGTCAGAACTGACTTGATGGCACTTAACAACAACATTTGGTTGGCAGTCAAGGACTTTAACTTCTGTGCCACCAGGGCTCCTTTCATCCCTCAATAGGGTTTAGAAGTTATTGCTAAGAGCCACCAGGAGCAGGTAGTTTGGTCATGACAACTGGGTCTGTGTGTCTTGGGCTCCTGGGATGACATTACTCCCCAATTTTAATTCTCTTTTTCCTTTCTTAATCCTTGCTCTACTTGGACCAGAGAGATGTCTTAGTCTCTGACATTTAATTCTGCATAATGTCATGCTTTCCCCTAAGACTGGAGACATGCCTTTGATGTCAGTTTGGTGCCTGGGAGCCCTGCCCACTTTCTCTGCTTGGGGTATGCTCTTCCCCTCCATTCTCTCTCCCTGCTCCTGTTACCAAGTCCGGCATCTAGGTTTCTACAACTCTAGATGGATTTCCCAATGGGAAACTCCTGCCAATGGGATTCCCAGATCCATTGTCTGGATTCTCTGATGTCGTTCCTGCCTGCCTAGTGCCAACCCCTCTGGCATTATGACTGAGCTGGTGTATCACACTACATGCCTCTTACAAACAGGTCAATTACACAGTCTCCCGCCACCCTGCCCCAGACCTGAGCGCAGAGCCTGAGCCAAGTCTCAGCATCATCTTCTTCTCTCCTAGCCCCAATACCCACACACAACCCAAATTCCCAAGCCCTATATCTATGCCTTGCATATAGGAATGAGAATTCATTCCTGAATTGTGCAATAGATCAAAATTTGTCAGCAAAAGGCCAAGGTCAGTGTTCACTGGTGCACAGAGGGTACAGTGGGGCATGACAATGCCATGTAATGAGCCACTGGCAGAGACCGCTAAATACCTCAGATCTGTCCTTCATTCACAGCAGCCACACACGGGCCTACCCAGGCTCACTGCATTTCCCAGTTGCCTTCGCTTTTATCTCAAACATAATGCAGGTGACTGCTGCCATTGAACCACTGCCAGTTAAGCCCTTAAGAGTTCCATCACACATTTCTATATGCCACTTGCCTTTTCCTTTGAACTGCCCACACTGCTATTGAAGACAGTAAGGCCATCAAAAGCCAGAGTCCCTGAATGACTGTGTGGATCTGAGCCCATATGAGCCAACATCCACCCTGGACTTTATAAGAGAAAACAATTAACTTTTATTGCACTTGGACCATTGCCTTTTGTTTTGTTTTGCTTTTTTGTTAATAAAAGTTTAGTCTACCTTACCTAATAAAACTGACCACAATAATTGCAGGCTTTTATTAACTGTGGGGAGTGCTATTAATGTTAATTGGGCTAATGGCTTCTAGTCACTGAATGCCTATTATGATCAGACCCTGAGTTAAGTTACTTAATATGTATTATTTTTACTCTTCATGCCAGCTCTGATAGATGAGACAATGCAATGCTCATATTTTAAAAGAAACTGAATCTCAGAGTTGTGCCATTTATTCAAGATCACTCAGCTGTTTTGTGCCAGAGTTCACGCTTTTCCCACTATACCCTCAATGTAATGCTAAGAAAATGAGAATGCTTAAGCTTATTACTTGGCAAAGTCTTGAATGCTCTAGGTTAGGCAACTGCCACTCAGCATATTATCTCAAAATTTTCTTGTTTTAATATTCAAAAGGATACTTATTTGCTCCACCTCTCAAATAGTGCAGTATAGTAACCAGTTCCTCTATGAGCAGGTTAGAACTATTGCAAAAATTCTGTGTAACAAGAGTCGAAGATGACTCTGAAGGGCTCCAGCTTGCAATCCCTGGATGCATTTCTACCATAAGGCATGTGCGCTCTAAAGCCAGGTTCCTCCTTCTTTTCCTCACTATTACAAGATCTCTGGGGCATCCTTTTGGAAAGAATCATTTCTCTAAGATTCAAATTAGGAAGCCTAGGTATCATATTGTAGATAATATTCTGCCTGTCCTGTCTGCATCCCAAGACTTGCTATTTGTTTGTTTCAGAAGGACTGGGATGGCAGAGTTTTACACCAAGGTTCTGTCAGCAGTACCTTTATCACACTCTTAAACAAACTCTTGTTTCCTGAATTAGCATTAGGCTGGTAGGTATTTGTTTGACCTAAACATTTGGGGTCCTGGCGTGGTGCTATAGGATAAGCACTGGACTGCTAACCACAAGGTCAGTGGTTCAAACCTACTAGCCACTCCTCTGAAACCCTCTACAAGGTTGCTATGAGTTAAAACCAACTCAGTGACACTTAAAAACAAGCAACAAAACATTAGGTACCTGACACTGGTCTTCTAGCCTATTTACTCAGACATTGTCCACTTTTTCAAACTTTGTCTTTATCTCCTCACCAATTACTGACATTTGCATGGGCACAACACTCTATACATATTTGGATGAGCTATTCTTCTTCCCTTAGAATTATCCCTGCTATTTGAACAATTCATTCAATGCATGCAAGAAACATTTATTGTTTTTTCAATTATCTTTTTTTTCTATCATCAAATGCCTTTTCTTACTAGCATTTTCGACATGCTGACTGCTTTTGCACTTACCAGATATGATGGGCTGTTAATATTTTTAAATAACTCAAAATGAGGCAGCGACACAGACAGTGTGAAGTACATGATGCTGGGGGCTCAGTAATCACTGTGACGGTAACACCATCTACCGATGGTGGTCAGAGCTGATGTACTTTCTTTGCCTTTAGAGAGTTTCTTTTTGTTTGTTTAGTTTTTAGTATACCAAAGCTCAAAAGCTGGACATTCTTGAATAGACATTTTGATATCAGTAACTGTTTTGTTTAAATACCACTCCTAAGATCAACACTCTTATGCAAAAATATTGTCTAAAATATAAATGCTGAAGCTATTCACATACTAAGAACCAGGTCCACATTTTTAAAATTTTTACTTTTCAAGCTGAACCAAGATTTGCCATCATTCCAAAGTGTCAAGATAATATGAAAAACTTAAATAAGAATTCCATATGGTGGTTCATTCAGATATAAATTTAGGACAAAAACCAAATACAAATGTAAGGACTGATATCAGCTCAATCTCAAAGGGATTTCCTTTATTTAAAAAAACAGCCAGATGAATGGACTTAACAGTGATAATTGATGATGCCAATATCAAAGGGACACAACCTCAGAAATAAAGATGACTTTAGCATTCCCAGAATGAAGATGAAAGGCTTCTTGGAGAAGGTACCAGGCCGACTGAAGCACCCTCACATGATGTTTTTATTTATTCCTACTCCTGGTGTAGTGCTGTAGGATAAGCACTGGACTGCGAATCTCAAGGTCAGCAGTTCAAACTCACCAGATGCTCCTCGAAAACCCTATTCGGGGTTGTTATGAGTCTAACCGACTAGACGGGACCTAACAACAACTAGCAACAAAAGAAAGACAGGAAAACTACCTACCTTTTGGATAATGATTGCTTATGTAGCAATTGTTTACTTTCAAGAGTAATACATCATTTGACCTTCATGTCAACCTTGTGAGAGGGTCAGGGTCGGTATCATCCCTTTACCAATGAGATAGGAAATCAGAACTCTCCTTAACTCTCCATGACATCCCCATGTCTAGAACTTGCTCCTTCCACTGGACCTCCCAGGGAGAGCATATGTCTACTCTAATACATCTCCCATCTGATACATCACAGAGACATCTGCAGCTGCTGAAACACCAATGACAGAGTTTTATATGCGCTTCACATTGACTTCTACTTCACATTTGTTTCACCTAAACATGAAAACTGTCACAGAGCATTCATGCAAAAGCTCTCCAAAAAGAAAACTTGAGAGCTGATAGCATCCAAAGCTAGTACACTTCCTGCAGACACCAAGACAAAATGATTCTCTCCTATCAGTGCAGATCCCAACTAGATTCTGGGAGTCCAGCCCAGCCAGATGAGAGTTTACAAAAAAAGCATTAATATGAAACTCAGGAAACCAGCAGTTCAAATCTACATAGGCAACTGAATTACAGGAAGATGCTGTTGTTGTTGTTAAGTGCCACTGAGTTGGTTCCAACTCATAGAGACCCTGTACAGGGTTTCTGAGGAGCAGCTGGTGAGCTTCAATCACCGACCTAATGGTTCAAACTGACCTTGAGGTTGAGTGCTTATCCTACAGCACCACACCAGGACAACATCATCTATAATATATGGTTACAAATACACATTTATTGCCCCAGAGATTGTCCCATAAGCGAAGGATAATTCTAATTATATTCAGTTTTAAGATGGGCTGGAAAAACAGTTAATTCTTCTAACTTAATGAATTAATATTCACTTGCTTAAAAGTTGTTGCTGTTATGTGCCATGGAGTTGGTTCCGACTCATAGCGACCCTGTACAGGGTTTCCAAGGCTGTAAATCTTTATGGGAGCAGAAAGCCTCATCATTCTCCCATGGAACAATTGGTAGTTTCAAACTGCTGACGGTGAGATTAGCATCCTGATTCATAACCACTATGCTACCAGAGCTCCTTTGCTTAAAAGTAGGACTATACAATTATACAAATGCTACCCGCCATTGCC